CCCTCCCCTACTCGTGGCCCAGGCGGCCCCTGCCTTAGGGAGCCTGTGAGGCTGGTTTCAGCGTGTCCTGCCCTGCAGAGACCTTCTCAGTGCTTTGGGGGCAGCTTTGTGATGTGGCGGGGGCGAGGGGAAGGGGCTTAGCTGCCTTGGCTCCTGTCAGGGCCAGGTGTGGAACGTGTTTGAAATCCCTGCCCCCCGGGGCACTCTGGGAGGGGAGCAAGGAAGGAGCTGCAGGCAGTAAAGTAGGAAAGACCCTGTCAGCCATACAACTGGTCAGTGCACAATACTTCAGGGGTGTGTGGGTGGACTGGGAGCTGGGTCTGGGTCTGGTGGTCCGCATCAGTGGTGAGTTTGGTGGTGTGGGAGCCCCCAGAGCAGTATGGTCTCTGTGGGAGGCTGGACAAGCCTCTCCCATTCAATTCCTGCTGCAGCTGGAGGGCAGTTGGAGGGGGGAGATGGTGCTTGGCCTGAGGCCACCTCTGCTGTCCCTGAATCCTCTTGGGGAGCCTGGGAACGGTGCTGGCCTGGCCGGACCCTGCTCCATGGCTGGACTTTGTTTACTCCAGCTTCCTGCCACGTTCCTGCCACAGCCCCTTCAGCTGCTGTCAGAAAGCCAGAGGAATTTGGCAGCCCCAGAAGGTCCAGCTGCTGTGCCGAAGGGCCGCCTTCTCCCCCATTCCTCCAGCTGCCCTGCAAGCTGCCAGCCCTCTCTGGGCACCAGGTGCGGGCTGCAGGGGGGCAGGTCCCCTGGCCGGGCACCACAGGCAGCTCAGACGTGAGGCAGCACTGTCGGGTGCTTTTTTGGTAACTCCTTGTATGTTTGGGTTTTGCTCTGTGGTGCTATGTGTTGGTATATGGGGGGCAGCAGGGCAGGGTGCCATGCAGGGGGATGGAGCCACAGGATTGCACAGCAAGGGGTCTTTGCTGTCAGCCAGACACCAGAGAGTGCTCGATGCCTGTTTTGGAGAGGGGAGGTTCACCCTGCCCCTCTCCCAGCGAACACAGGGCTGGGTGATGAGTTCATGCCAAGGGCTGGATTCAAGACCCACCCAACCTATCCTGTGCTATCGTCTGTGAGATGTCATTAGTGGGAGTCACAGAGGCTGCTCGCTGAGCTGAGTCTCTGGCCTGCAGTTGAGAAGTCATCATTGAACAGAAGAGTGTTCCGAGGAGCAGCTTTCCACTGTGCAGCCTTGAGGGGTCTGGAGCTCATGGTGGAGATTTCCCTGTCTGTGTTGCAGTGTCTGGAGGCACACACTGCTGCTGGGGTCGGTGCTTGAGCTGCAGCAGTGGTTGGGACTGCGTATGGTGTCAGAAGCCTTTGGAGCTGGCTCACCTGGGGGAGTGTTGGGTGCAGGAAAGCAAGGCTGTACGCCCTCCCTGACCTGAGTACATGGTGGGCAACCCCCAGTCTGTGGAGAGCCCGAGGTGTGATGCTGGCAGGGCCTCGGCAGGAGCACAGCTGTGCTGCAGTGGTGCGGGAGCACTTCCCGGGAGCGATGAAATCAGCGGGTGTGGCCGGGATTCCTCGGCTCCCGCTGGAGCTGTCTGGCGGCTGATTTACAGTGGTGTTATTGCCAGGATCGTGGCGTTGTCCTAGCAACCGCAATGGAGCCCCCACCGCCCCTTGCCTGGGTGGGATGGGGCCGGCTGAGTCTCCCCTGCTCGCTGTGGGTCAGCCCCAGACCTGGAGGTAGCGGCCAGGAGCAGGCTCCTCGCTGCCCTCTGGTTTTGTGCTGGAGACGGGCTCCCCCTTCCCAGCTGCCGCCGGAAGGGCTGGTTGTTTACCGGGGCAGAGGGTGTGGGAAGGGGTGAGCGCGCCCTAAGTGCGTTAGCAGATGGGGAGCGAGCAGGCAGCCAAGTTGGCCGGAGGCTGCGATGCTCTGCCGTGTGCACCCGTTAGCTCGGCCACTCCAGCGCCTCCTGTGGCTCACCCGGCCACGAGTGGGGAGGCGAGGCCACGGCAAGGGGTGCCATGTGCCTGCCTCTTCCATGTTGCGTCCCAGGCATGGCTGACACCGCACGGCAGGGTCTGCCAGGCTGTGCTCCCTCAAGAGTGTGTCCTGGCCAGCAGCACACGGTGCAGCTCTGGGGTCTGCCTGCTGCTGGCACCTGGCCATGCTGATGGGGAGCGAGGCAGAGCGTGCTGTGCCCAGGTTGGGTCTGGGGAGTCAGCAGCAGGGAGGGAAGAGTGGACCCCTGAGCACCCCCTGCCCTGTGAGGGTCGCAGCCTGCGGGCAGTGGGGTGCAGGGGCGCGGTGGGGCAGCGTGTCTGTGTGCAGCCCGCCCGGTGTTGGCAGGACCCCCGCATCGGCGGGGCTAGGCGTCCTCCCAGGTGAGGCTTTTGGCTGCGCCAGGAGGAAGAAAGGGGCTTTTGTCCTCCAGGAGGCTGAGGCTGAGTGGGCAGCCCTGCGCGCGGGGTGCACGGGGACCGTGGGCTGTTTGGCGGTAACCGAGCCCGACCCCTTGGCATTTGCTGCCTTCACCGCTTCCCACGGCGGGAACAAGCAGCGCGTTCTGCAGGCGGCGGTGGGAGAAGAAAGGCTGCCTTGTCCATCCCAGCAGTGGGGCGCCGGCTAGGGCGGCTGCGCTCCCGCCCCGCATTCCTACGGCAGAGCCGGTTGGAGAGGGGCTGCATCCCCAGCGGGACGGGCTGGGAGGAACGGCGGGCGTCCCCTGCGTGGTGAGGAGCCAGGTGAGGGGCTCCGATGGAGGGCAGTGCTGGGGGACACGGTGCATCGGGCAGCGGTGGGATGCCAGGGTCACCCTCCGGCTCATGGGCAGGCAAGCCTGCCTGTGGAGTGGGGGGTGTTAGGTGGAGAATGTGGGCAGACAATCGCCCAGGGGACAGGGGTCCCCCATGGTTCTCACCTGGTCTCACCAGTACAGCTGTGCTGAGAAGGAGTTAACACCGGCGCAGGATCTCACCCTGGCCCCGCTCCCTTCCTGTGCAGCAGCCTGGCCCCTCCTGGCTTTTCCTCCTTTCCAGACATTGTGACGGGTCTGTGTGCAAGCAAGGGGTAGGGGCTCAGCTGGGCTGCAGGGTCTCCAGATGCTGGGAAGTGCAGCATCCCAGTGCATGGGGGACATGGGCACCCTGCCGTGGAGGGTCCCACTCGGCTCCAGGACCAGGTGGCAGGTAAGGGAAGGCAGCTGGTGGGCACTGGTGAACTGCTCTTGGGGTACTGCACCTCTGCTTCCTCCTGCCCCAGCTGAGCTGTCCCTATTCTGCGTGGGGTGGCTGTGGTCCCCAAGGAGACCTTGCTGTGGGGCAGCCAACTCTGGTGTCGTAGGAGACATGGGCTTCATCCCAGCCCTGGATCCCATGCCTGGTGTTTTCCAGCGTTTCATTTTTTCCACAGTGTGTAATAGCCGCTCACTCGCCCCCGCAGCTGAGCCCGGTGCTGGCCGAGCTGCGGGGGTCCCTCCGGGGGTTGGCGGGACAGCGGGCAATGCTCCCGGGGGCTGAGCCTGGATCTCCTCCTGGTGGCCTGTGATCAGGATCCCCAACGGGGATAGAGTACTCCCTGGTTGGGCTGCATGGGAAGGGTTAAGCTGCACTTGGCCAGTCCTGGGCGGAAGGGAGGGACATGGGGAACAGCAGACGGTAAATTTAGTAACCCTGGAGCATCCCGACATGGCGTGAGCGCCGGGTGACGGAAATCGTTCCTTCCCAAACTGCCTCCCACCCACGCAGAGAACAAGTGGCAGCATAGCTACTCCAGGGGCAGCCAGCCCTGCCAGCCATGGGCCTGTGTGCCACCTCAGCAGGGACATGGCACAGACAGCTGAGCTTGTGTACCCTGAGCTGCCGCTGCTGCTGGGCTGCGTGGGAGCAGAGGTGTGTGCCTGGGTGCTGGGGACAGGCGCTGGTGACACGCTCAGGGGTACCTGGGTTGTACCATGCATGGCAGGCAGGTGTTGCTGGGGACAGCCAGATCCTGTGCTTGTGTGTCTTTGTCCACTGGTGGCCACTGGAGGTCTGGTTGTCCACCGCTCTTGAGGTTTAGGGGGTGTGTTTCCTACACTGCCTCCCCAAAACTGAACACGTATGCCGTCTCCTTCTGGGACCATGTCTGTCCTGACACCTGGCATGCATGTGGGTTTCCCTGGGCAGATGGGGATGTGTGCCTCGGCAGGCAGGGATGCTCACTGACTTCAGGCAGCTGCTGACACGCTGGAAACGGGAGCTCAGGATGGGCATCCTGTTGGTGGCAAATGCTGGTTTGGAATGGGTAGGGTTTATGCTCAGTGTGTGATGTGCAGGAGGAATACATAAAGGCCATGCCCATTGTGGTCACTTGTGCTGCCATTCTCTGTTTCTTTTGGCAGCAGCCCGTGCCCAGAAGCATCCAGTATCTCCAGGCAGGCATCATGGAGGCATCTGGCAGAACCCCCACCAGCCCAACCCACAGAGTCCAGAATGTCATCCAGGTGAGCACACAGGACCACAGGACCTTTGCCCTGTGGGAACAGGGGGATCTGGCTGGGAGCCCTTCTCCTCCACAGCCAGCCCTACCATGGGTGCTGTCCTCCAGCCTCTCCTCACCCCAATCCTATTATGGGATCATCGGCAAAGCCCATTGAGCTAAGCAGCTGGTAGCTCAGATCCTCTTAGATGCAGCCCAAGCCCCAGAGATCTGCTCCCAGGGCAGCTCACCTCTGCTCCCTGGGGTGGATAGCACAGGCAGGAGAGAGCCCTCATCTCCTGTGTCTTGCTGCTGGATGGTCCTGCTGGTGTGTGGCTGTGCCTGGGCAATGACCCCACCTGTGCGTGTGGCTGTTCTGGAGCAGACCAGCCCGCTGGGCAGTGCAGGGGAGTGAGCTGCATCTGTGGGAGCTGTGAGCATCCCTCCCTCTCCTGCAGAACAGCCCTCTGGACCTGATTGACACGGGCAAGGGGCTAAAAGTGCAGACGGAGAAGCCACATTTGGTGAGCCTGGGCAGCGGCCGACTCAGCACTGCCATCACGCTCCTGCCCCTGGAGGAAGGTGAGTGCTGGCTGCCAGGCAGTCCCTGCGGGCATGCTGGCGGCAGGGACACTGAGCTGCCCTCTCTGCTGGCAGGAAAGACCACCATCGGCACGGCCATGACAGACATTGTCCTGCAAGGCCCTGGGCTGGTGCCTCAGCACTGCTACATTGAGAACGTGCAGGGGACGCTCACCCTGCACCCCTGTGGCAACACCTGCGCCATCGATGGTGTGACTGTCCGGCGGCCCACGCGCCTCACCCAAGGTAGGAACGGGCTGGGGTTCACCAGAGCCTTCACCCGGGGAGTTGTGCCATCAGGTATCAGTGTTGGCAGAACCATCCTGTAATTGCATATCCCAGCTGGGATGGTCCTGCCTCTGTACCCTGGGCTGGCATGTGTGAGAACAGTTTGAGAACCGGCTTTGCCAAGTGCAGCAAGTGAGGTGGGGAGGGAGAGAGCCGGGTGGGCTTTGGAGAACAAGGAGAGATGCTAAATCGGTTTTTGGAAGGGAGATGACAGAGGAAAACCACCTCAGGTATCCTCCCGAGGGATGGCTGCCGGGACACGCCAGTCTGCCTGCGCGGCTGGAGGGCTTGGACCCTGCGGGTCCCCCATGGCCGCTCCTGGGGAGGGAGCATGGGTAGAGCCAAGGGCCCCTTCCCACGCCATCCCGTCCCTGAACGTCCCGAT